TTAGTCCTCCTTGAAATCTTGCAAGCTTTTAGTCCAGAATACAAAACTTTTACAGGTACCGTATTTTTCGGATTATAAGAAACTCCAAAGTGTAAGGGGTACCTAGCTTTTGGGGAGGAAAACAAGAAAAAAAAATCTGCCTCTGGTTCCTAGCACTTTGCCTCCTTGCAGCAAACAGCCTGGTCAGCTTCAGCACAGCCTGATTAGCACAAGCAGCTGATCGGTTGGATCAGCCTCCTGATGATCAGCTGTTTCAGGCTTCAGGGATCACCATTGCCTATTGCTGCCTCCGCTTGCCCCATTTTCAGCCTCTGAAAATGAGTCTTCGGCCTCTGTGCGTGCCATTTTCAGCCTCCATGCACCCCATTTTTGGCCTGTTCCAGGCAGCAGAGATTGAAAAGGGCCGAAAATGGGGCATACGGGGGCCAAAAATAGGGCGTATGGAGGCGGCAATAGGCGATGGTGATCCCTGAAGCCTGAAACAGCTGATCGTCAGGAGGCCGATCCAACCAACAATCAGCTGCTTGTGGTTATCAGGCTGTGCTGAAGCTGACCAGGCTGTTTGCTGCTTGTTGCAAGGAGGCAAATTGCTGGGAGGCAGAGGCCAGCAGGTAGGAGCCGGTGGGTGGGCAGGGCTTCAGCAACATTCGCTGTATAAGACACACAGACATTTCTACCCACTTTTGGGCAGGAAGTGTGTCTTATACACTGAAAAATACAGTATTTTGATTGAAAATATTAGGATCTTGCAAGATTTGGATATATCTTGAGATCTGAGGCTTCTTAAAGCAGTTTCATGTAGGCATTTCCTATAATGATTACAATACGCTATGGGAATTATTAATTAGAAACCACTCTGCTACATAATTACTGACTCTCATTTACAAGGCAAATTAGGCTAGGACATGTTAAACACTTAAACAGGCATTTGAATATGTCAATTGCAAATCACAGGCACTAAATTAGAAAAAAATAGTAAGTACTGCACATGACTTACCTTATTGTATATTGAGGACAACATGTCTGATTCATAGTGGGCTTATAAACATACTTTCCACTTCTGAGAGTTAAAAAGATGAACATATTTTGACAAATTCTTACAATGCTCTTGTTAAAATATATAATAAACATCACACCTTAGAGGCAAAAAAGCTCTAAACAATCAAATTATATAATCAATTATGTAATAATTAAAAAAGGTTTTCAGAAGCCATTCAAATCTTTGATGTGTTAATATACATAATGTACATAAATCTTTTGAGCTTTATAATAATCTCTTTGATGGAATGATGCTGGTAGAAACTATTTTTTTATCTTCATTATCCTCATACCTTTACAACTAGTATTATAATATTTGAATGGCTATACAAATATTAGCTGGTTATCCTAGACCTAGACCATAGCAATTTAGCTCCTTTAACTTTAATGGACATTTTCCAAACTATATAGAGAAAGATGTAGATGATAAGTTCAACATATTCAAATTTTGATTCCCTTTAAGTTAAATTCCTTGGAATTAAAGATGAATGAAACAATAAATATATGATACAGAGTGGTAAACTAAACTGGACAGGATTTCATTGCAAACTTTCATTCCCTGATAACCAAAGATAAAGAATGCCAGTGTACCATATCTTAAAAAGTCCCCGAATTTTATTTATTGGTAGATTTATATCACAACATTCTTGCAGGAGCTAAAGGCGGCTACAAATATTCTCTCCTTTAATTTTAACCCAATCACAACCTTGTGAGTTCTTTTGCTTAGAGGGAATGTCCATTTTCCATAGCTGGGGTAGACCTGCAGGTCTCCCAGTTGCGGTTAAATGTTTTAACCAGCAATTAAGGACACCCTGTATTGGAATACCCACACCTGTAAGGGAGGGGCAGGTTGATCTATCAAGCATACCCTTTTCTAATATTCATTCTGTTAGAACACACTACAAACAAAAAGCAGTAGATTACATGTGGATTTATCCAGAGTGTTAATTATTTATATTACTGTGAATACTTAAAATACATGGTGATATAATATCTTAACTCTCATTTTATACTAAAATTCTTGCAATTATGCAAGTAATATTTGGAGAATTGTTTTATGTAGCAAGATGACAACTGGTATCATCATTCAAGTAATGTTTAAATATATGGGGTACTTAATGATTTTTATGTATTTTATAGGACATGCATAGTATTTCACTGATTATGATCCCATGTTTTTTATACTAATCTATGATCTGGAATATTCAATTAATCACTTACCTCCGCCATCCTCGATCTATAAGATCCTGGTAGTCTTCAACAGTCAGTGAATGAGCCCACATGCCTGGTACAAATATTTATACAGAAAATATTCATATAATATTGAAAGCACTTTGCTTCAAACAATGAAAAAATGCTGCCTTATGGAAACCTCCCCACATACGTCTTAATAACACAAATGATTTTTAAAATTACTATTGAAACTTTTCAAAATCATAGTTAAAACGCATAATTAACATTAAAGCAATGCTTCTGTACATACAGCTACAAGCATATAGGGCTTCCTCAACATCCTGTACTTATTTTCATTCATTACATTACTTTTTATTATGTCTGGCTTCATATAATACATCAGATAAATATGTTTTATGATTTCAGCCAGTGAACTTATAGTTCAGTATGTTAGATGATCCAGGCAATTGGTCTATTAAATAAGCCATAGATTAGTATGCTGTAAAAATACACTCCTCAAATCAGCCTTCCTGAAGTAGGGCACTTTCCAGACGTGACAGTTAGAACACCCAGAATTTGCCATCAGCATGAACAAAATATGGGTTAATGCTCTTATATATGAAGAGGACTTTTGTGATAGAAGACGCTGTCAGTGGATTGCCACAATAAAATTCAGCTCAATCCCCATCTACTTCAACAGTATTTCCCACAAGACATCCTTTAGCTCCTTTAAATTTAATTTAAAACAATTACATTAAATGCCATTAATTTATTTGCTATTATCTATTCTCCTGTTATCTTGTCTCCATACAACAAATCTCTATTTCTTTTCTTTAAAATCTGTTATTCTCTTTAATAATTGGGAGTTGCACAAAACAATGAAGCATAAAATACAACAAATGCAATTTGATTTAGTGCATATAGTGATTGGCTAGTTTATAGTTCCATGTATGGTGGGAATGCTATACATTTCTATTCATTTCTATTCATTTGCACTGATTTCTTGCCCAGCTCTTTGTTGTGTGTACACAGTCTAATAATAACAAATATTTAACACATATGCCCAACCCATTCTAGATCCTGAGAAAATGTGTTGGGACTCACAAAGGCTGATAGGTTTTAATAAAAAATGCTTCTAGACTTTCTGAGTACAGGTAGTCCTCCACTTACAGCAGTTCATTTAGTGACCATTTGAAATGACAATGGCCACTGCAAAACGTGACTTATGACCGTTCTTCATATTTACGACCATTGCACCATCCCCATGATCAAAATTCAATCAGCTTGGCAACTGATTCATATTTATAACATCACAGGGGCCCGGGGTCATGTAGTCACCTTTTGTGACCTTCTGACAAGCAAAGTCAACGAAGCCAAATTCACGTTACAATCATGTTAGTAACTTAACAACTGCAATTATTCACTTAACAATGAAGTCAAGAAAGGTCGTAAAACAGGGCAAAACTCACTTAAATGTCTCACTTAACTAATGGAAAGTGTGACTTCAATTGTGGTTGTAAGTCAAGGACTAACTGTCCTTTGGTAGCCAAGAAAGGGGCTATATTGGGAGGAAAAGAGCAAAAAATTAAGACAGAGAAACATCAGGTAACTTGTAAAGGGCCACTCTGAAAAAGGACTCCATGGTACTTGTCAAAAGCGAACAGGTGTTTCAGTTTACTCTTTCTGTTTTTAATTCCCACTCTGGTCATTTAAACGGCAGAGGAGGGCTCGAACTAGAGATGGGCCAGACAGGGTCCGGTCCGGCTCCTTTTGCGAGTTGTGACATCGCTCCGTTAAGTGTTTTTAAAGGGTAACTTCCAGAGGCGCTTGGAAACCGGCAATGGGAGGCACCGAGCGCCGCTGCCCTAGGCTGAAGCACAACGTGGCCCGAAGTTGTCCTGCTCCGACTCCTCGCCTTCATCCTAAGCGCGGCCTACCGTTTTAAAAAAGGCATATGCCTGCCTCACACGGCAACCGAGAGACTAGCCATTGAGGAAAATGATGGAAAGGCTCGGCTTTCCTCACCCCTCCGGCGCTGGCTTCTGTTCTGTTCCCGCGTGTGACTCGTACCGTGAGAGAAGTTGCCGGTGTCATTCTTGCAATAGCCGCAGCGGTAGCCGCCGTCTCCCCCCAAGTATTCCACGATGCTCAAAGAACCGCTTCCCATCGTCGCCATCTTGGCTGCCCGGCCGGCTGCCTCCGCCTTCCGATAATCCCGTGTCCGCCGTCCAGCCGAGGGAATCTCTCGAACGCCCTAAGCAGCGGCGGCGGCCATAACCGCCATTTTAACCCAGGGCAGAAAGCGGCTTGATTGAGCGACGGAGGGCCTCCGCTTGCGAGCGCATCTTCCGGTTGCTAAAGGCAGAGGACGGAGCTTCCATTTGCGGGGCCTAATAGGTCTATTTGAAGCCAGAAAAGGGGGAAACCTCATCAAAGGTTACTTTTATCCCAGTGCTTTGGTGTCACAGTCTCCAGAGGACAACTAGACAGATTTGATTTCTTTTTGATTTATTTATTAAATATGTTTGTCGCCCACGATGAAGCTATAATAAAAGTGTTAATCTGCATCAGGTTGATACAGATACCTTACTGGGCTTTGGCTTCAAAAACATTCTGACAGGCAGAACAAGTGCAAGGTTTCTTTTTAATGTGACGATATAGGAAATAGACTAAATGTACATCCACATATATACATACACACTTTTATATATATTAGTAGTTCAGGAATCAATGGTTTTTCTATCTCTTCCTAGTAGTGTTTTGAAAACAACAATCCCTCTGGTCATAAAATGCAGAAAGTAACATGTTGGTTATAGTAAGTTAACTTTATCTTCAGACAAATACATATAATGAACAGTAATGTTACTGTTCTACTGCTAAAGACCAGGAAGAACTTGATGAATTTTCTTTCAGATGCCAAGGATACTCTGAAGGGATGCCATTCCTTGTGTTTCCACGGACACACAAAAAAGCAGAGATTAAAAGTGAATATCTGAAAACACCTGCCAGTCACTTCAGGAAAGCACCCTTGGTCCTGATAGTAAAAGTCTAATTTTATAGCAATAAAAACTGCATATTACAGCAATGTGTTGGCTTTTGTAGTGTTAAATTACCTACTCAGCTCTTACATTGGTAGAACATCTCTAAACTCCCTTTTTATTGATAAGGATCATCTTATTGGGGATTGGGGTGGCTTTTTTTAATGAAGTGGAGGAATTCAGCTAGCAGATAGGCAATTAATGTAGCTTTTGCCATCCTTTTGGGCTACATTAACCAAGAGACAATTGCTATTGCTTGGTACATACTCCACTAGTCACTGTGATTATTATATAGCTGGGTACCAACAATGGCCATTTGGGAGTTCTTTTTTGCACCCTCATATATAGATCCAATGTGGAGCTTTCATTACCAGGAAGTAAAGTCATTGCCACAAGCTGCCTAATTGTCCTCAGGTTGCACATTCTATGTAGGGTAGATTCTTCTGCATTTTCAAGATCCATGAAAGTAAACATACTTGGTTCCGCACAACCTTCATCCTGCTTCAGGTTAGTCGAAGACTCATTGCCTCATTGAACAAGTGCCCTTTTTTTCTGTTTTGGAAATTTATCCAGCACTAAATATATTTCTTAAGATCTTTTCAGAGCAACGAATTATCTTTGATGGGATATGTGGTGCTGCTGTTTTAAATTTAAAAATATTATCCATTTCAGTATTAGCAGCAATAACTCATAATAAATGGCACTGTCTGATTGGTTTCCACTAAACTCCCCCCCCCCCCCCCCCCATCCTTTCAGGGCAGATCTGTTCATATGAAAACAATGAAACTAAAAAAACCATGCATGTTTGTGTCTGGGGCCTGGGGGTTGCACATTTTTTCCAAATGATTTCCCATATTATTTTCTTGCTATATATATTTATGTTATGTGTGCATGGTGAGCTGATTCTTTGCATCTGTTCTTTTCTGAATGTATTAGCATTCATATAATTTGAACCTGATACCCAAGACTCCTATGTGTTCTGTTAATTTTTATTAAGCATAAAAATAGTGACAGCACATCTAATTCTGAGATATGCTGCAGAAGCTGGATATGGTAAGATCAGTACAACATATTCTCATTTTGTCATAGAATGCAATGTTATGGGTTTATATAGACACAAAAGAGAAAGAAATACAGGTAGTCCTTGTTTAACAACCTTTCATTCAGCACATATTCTGTTCTGATGGTGCTGAACAAAAGGCCTTATGAGAAGTTCTCTAGCTTCTGGCCTTTGCAATTGCCCAGGGTCATGTGAAGAAAATTCAGTCCTGCCCACGTTTACAACTTCCCTCCCACAGTTGACCTTTGTTCTCTTTGCCCCCCCCCCCTTCCATTGGGTTCACCAACCTGGCCACACAAGGGGAGATGCTGTGGAAATGTACAATAGACCAGCAATCCCCAATCTTTCTGGCTTGGTGGCCCAGCGTCTGGGGCAGGTGGTTCAGTGAGTGGTAGGCATATGCATGCAAGAACACACAACTCTATTTGTATGAGTGACCTGGGGATTGGGGATCCTTGAAGCCTTTAGACCAGCAGATAAGAGCTATGGGCAGGTATGTGCTATGCCACAACTAACTACTGATCAAGCCCTCCTTTCACAAAACAACTTAGCTGTGCCAGCATAACTAGTGCAAATGGTAGTACTGGCTGAACCAGTTATGAAAGGAAACTCTGGTCAGCACACAAAACGACATGTGGCAGAACATTCCATACCCGTACAGACCTTACCAGCCACCTGCGGATACACCGTGGATAGCCCACAACCCATTAGATGTCAAGGTCCTCTTCGAACACGATGGAAGAACATCACAACATTTACAACATTTATAATATGAAATATTATTTGCTGTCATCGTCATATTGTAACAGCTATACTAAAGACGGAGATGACAGTTATTCATATTGTAACAGCTATACTAAAGACTGGCACATGACAGTCCTCGACTTATAACAAAAGTTACAAGCCCCCCTCCCAAAGGTATTTACAGTCTGATTCAAATTTCTGACTGTCCCACCCCCAGGTCATTATGGGTGCACGGCAATTGGCCCGCATTTACAACTGTTTGCAGCATCCCAGTCATGACCAGAGTCTACATTTTTTGTGTGCTGTTAACTGGTGTTTACTTCCAGTTTCAGGCAAAATAACACCCATTCGCTTAAAGACCATGCAAAAAAAATCGTACAATCAGGCATGATCATGTGATGATCCACTTAGTGCCCGGTACAACTTACGACTGTAATTCCTTGCTCAATCAGTAGTAAGTGGAGGACAATCTGTATTCATTAAAAAAATAGTAATTTATGACCCAAAGGTGCTTTTTCAAGAGGCAACTGGACTCTTTGTTTTTCTTTGAAAACGTTTTGCTTCTCATTCAAGAAGCTTCTTCAGCTCTGACTGGATGGTGGGGAATGGAAGGATTATCAGCAGCATCAACTCATCACCTACAATGCTGCAAAACATCTAACCACCTAATCAGCTCCTCTAATCAACATCGATTGTCTCATCAACAATTCACGGGACTTTGCTAGCAAGATTTGCAAACTAAAACTAGACCCTAAAATTAGTTTGACAAGACTGCATTTATTAATGCAGTCAGCCTACAATTGTCTAAAATCTGCTCATCTGCATCTCTCTTGATGCATTTATATTATGATTTGTATGATGGCCATATGCATATTAGAAATCTAGTGATGGAATAATAAATGCTAGAAATAGAAGAACACCATTGAATTTTGAAAGTTAACAACTAACCCAGCTTCACCTATTTTTTGTATCAGCTATGATACCACTACACTTTGTTATCTCGTGCAGCTTTCCAAAATACTTGTAAAACAGTAATTTATAAGGCGCAGGGCGGCTTCCCGATTGCACCTTTAGACCAAAAAATAGTATTTTCAAAGCCAAAGTTTACATGTTATCATCTGTATTTAATATTTATATTCATTATTCTGTAAAGTTTAACAAGCTTGAACAACTCAAAAATAACTACAGAAATATTTAAAATTATTAATTATTATAAATTTTTAAACATACAACCCATTGCAAAAGTGTATCAAAGTGTTTGATTCTACATTGTTGCTTCTGCCAAAGTTTCAATGATGTGGAGTGGCATCAACAAGTTACTTTGTTCTTGTATAAGCCATTTCTCAAAGACATTCTACTTCATTCTTTTTTTCACCATAAACATTTGAACACTTATGTCAAATGCAGAATTGCACCTAGTTGTTATGATGGAAGAAAACAAATATTTCAACAAGGTAAGTACATTCTATGATGTAGAGAGACAGATGCACTTTTCTTCTCAGCCTTTCTTTCTTCTAGGCCTTGCATTTCCACTTCCCATTTTTCTTCTCTACACCATCATTCACAAATAATGAAGTTCAAAATCTATGGAACTATAAATAAGAGCTATAAAAGTGCATATTCTCCTAAACTAAGATGATTAACACATGCTGCTGCAACACAAAGGAACTGGAAGAGTAGCATTCTAGTCCTTTAATATTTAAATGGTTTCAGGCGCAACTATCTATGTCTCTCAATATTAATCTCCTTGGACATTAAAGATTAATAGAAAAGGACCCTTAAAACAGTCTTTTTCAGGTACATAAAAGACATGTTATGTGTCACTCCAAAAATACAGAGCAAACTCCCTTGGGAACTCTTTCCATCTATGAACACTGATCAAAAGTCTTCTGTTATTGAGATGTAACATATTTTGTTTCTATTGTTAACTAACTTTTTGCTTTATGGAAAAGTGAAATACAAATTGAAATAACATAATGTTGACCAAATGAATGTGTAATAAGACAAAGCACATTCAGAATATAAAAGCTACGAGACTAATTTGCTGTTACAGCAAATAAACAATGTACAGTATGTTGTATAATACAACACTGTTATTTAGAAAACCTGGATGCGCTCCCCTTATTCAAGCAAATATGTAATACTTAAATAGGAAAGTTTAGCTCAATTCCATCCAAGGCTGGTTCTTACAGAACTATAGATACCTGTGTAAAAGAATGAGATTGAAATCTGCAAAAGATAAATAGAATTCAAGTCAGCTAAAAATAACATTTATTGTGCTTGAATAACAACAAAAATGATATCAAAGAAATTAAACAAAAAATATTACCTTATATTCAGATCAGCTTCATCTCAGGTCTTTGACTGTGAAACAGGTGGAATCATTGCCTGTGAAATTTCAAATATCTCCACAATATTCTACGTGAAAATAAAAATGTATTGTCTTTAAATTCATAGTATTATAGATAAAATGTGCATTAATTAACATATTTACCTTTTCAACCACCATTAGTTAAAATATTAAGCTGTTAAACGCAAAGTTATGTATATTACAAGTTAACAGAACTTCTGACTAGCATTTATTTTTATCATACTTTTACAATGTAAACACTGTGCTGCCATTTTTTTTAAGATGGGAGACTGTAGAAAATACATGAATGAAATACATTGCTACTTTGATCAACAGTCAGTCTTACTGTGACACACACATTGAATATATATTTTCCCCCTTCCAAACTACTGAACCAGCAACTTGCCTTTCCATTTTTAAAGTTCTAAATAATATAGATATGCTAATCATACTTATAGCATTTTAGGCACAGAAACGCAGTTCAGGGATATTTAAAATAACTTCAGAAAATAAAATTTAATTATACCATCCATTCTTGATAGCTCATTGATATGACAGCTTGCTTCCGTGCTTGAGAATCATCATAATTTTCTCCTCCTTCTGGACGTAAAGGTTCTAGCAAAATATTGTATTATTAGGACACATGTTTATATTTAAAGAAATAAAAATGCCATTTTAAAACAATATAAAGTATATGTCAAATTAAGAGACATAAAGACATTTGTTTAAAACAATTCCGAGTATTAGAAATATTGCAACATTACCTATTATAGGAAGTTTATCTTGATCCAGTTTTATTCTTGCAAGTCCATCCTAGGGGAAAAAAAAGTTCAATTTACCCCAAGATAGCAAACCTATCAGAAACAGGTTATGAAATCTGAAATACATTTACTGGGCTTAATTCAACAGCGATAATAATGGTAAACAAATTTAACCACATATTTTTTGACTTTAATTAAGTGAATTGTATGATTACAGCCAGTTATATGAAATAAACCATGATTCAGTTATGGTTTAGTACAAAAAGCAAACCCAGTCATTCAAGAATTAGTTTTCAGTTTTAATCTTTTAAACAGTAGACAGATGTAGGACATAAAACCTACATCTTAAACCCTTTAAGACCTATTTCCATTAAGAAAAAATTCAGATTTTTTAACAAGAACAAAACATGATCCATATTTCAAGTGTCTAAATCAGGGGTCTTCAAACTTGACAACTTTAAGACTTGTGGACTTCAACTCCCAGAATTCTTCCTCCATTCGTGTTAGCTCAGGAATTCTGGGAGTTGAAGTTCACAAGTCTTAAACTTGCCAAGTTTGAAGACCCTTGGTCTAAACCCATATTCTTTATAATTATAAAGCTTGTTTCAAAATCAATTTATTACCACTGTAAAAAGGGGGAAAATCTGGTTTATAAAAGGGAGGTTAGTAAATTATAAACACATATCAAATGATTTCTATTACATAAGAAATGAAAGAATTAGCAGCCTTCCAACATGGATTGTTCAAATCTTGTGCTTATATTTGTGGCACAATACATTTGCTTTTTATAATTAAGGGAGAAAATTGCTTTTCCTTACCCTTATTAAGAATGAGACATGAAACATATTTTCCACAGTTCGTGAAAAAGAATTTGGGTCTGTCACAAACTCCAGGAAGGATATTGGTGTAGCAGCTATAATGTAAAAACAACATGCTTTTGATACTGATACATTCATCTAACTATTCAGCCTATTTCTAGTTTACTTCTGTGTTCAACATTATTTAACTATCATTTATCTATGAATGGAAAAAAATTTCCTAAGCCCACATTTAATATTTTTCATTATTCATTTTTTATTTATTTAAAGGCAGATCTAATCATGGTCTGTAGCAGAATGAGAAATGTAAACAGAATTTTCTTAACAAATCTTAGATATATGCTGTATGAATTATTCTTCCTACACCAAAGTATTATCAAAAAAATCAGATTGAGAAATATGTACATATGGAACCAAATTAATGTAACTGAGCATTTTCAGTACAAATATCACCATAAAAATTTAGCTAATTGCAGAAAAAATAGCTAAATATTTGAAGCATACAACCTCTTCATAACTTCAACTGATCTTTTCTACTCAAACATTTTTGTTCTGACATAGCATCCTCGATCTTATACTCTTCCTATCCTAGCCACCATAACAATACTTAAAGGAAAGAGAGGCAACTGTGTGAATGCTGAATTCCATTAACTTACGCTCTTCTCCATAATAGGCTTGTAAGAATCCCAAAATCCTTTCTACTTCCTTTTCAGTAGCTTCTAGATGAGATTCTTCCATTTTTTTTAACTAAAGAAGGAATTTAACAAGCTATTATCAACATAGCTATATTTTATCACAATGTTACAGCAGTCTTCTTGTTCCATTATAATATTTTTAGATGAATTTCTTTTTAAAATGTTGTTTTCCTTAAAGCATACTTTATTATGGTACCTCATAACCAGCAACATTTTAACCAATGTAAAGTTGATTTCTGGGATAAATGAAATGTATTTTTAAAAAGAGTAAAAATACAAGATGATGTAAACATTTTCTTTGTTTCCTAATAGATATGGGATGTATGCAAACATTCTCCTAACAGATAGGAGAGTGTGCAAAAATAGAGTTGACCTCAAATAATTCTACTGATATGAAGAATATACTTTTAAAGTTGAGTTTAAAGTTTTATGCACCATTTACAAATTACAATAAAGAATATGCTGCTTCAAAGGACAATTTTTTTCCATGTATGCATATTAGAAGATTATTGGGCAAATATTACACCCTCCTCCAGTACAATAAGTCAGAACCAAATGTCTGCAAGAAAATCATTGTTCATCATAAAGCTTTGTTTTGACAAAAAGTCTATTTATGTGTCCTCGTCTGTTACTGTGCTATGAATCTTCGTTGGAAGTTTCTCATTCCCAAGTAATGTTAGACTTTACTTCTCACATGTAACTCACTTGTGCGGGCATTGCTCTGTTTCCATCTGAAGTTGCCTTCTTTCGCTGCCTTTCAATTCGTGGCCTTTCAGCAGGGGGATCAGGAGTAAAAGTGCCTAACCTAAGTCAATGGAAACATTGTAAATTCCTTAGGTAGCATTCGAAATAATCTGAAGACATAACACTGTAATTCTATTTTGCAAATATGGCTAACAAACCAGAAAGATGTAGCAACATAAGCTTCAAAAACAACAACTGGTGTTTGAACTGCTGAGAGATTAGAATTTCTTTCAGTTTCATGACTTCAGACCTAATAAAATTTTGATGTTAAAAGTCATGTCAGAATAATGCATATGAATGCAAAATCCTAGTCTGGTTGCTCTCAACTATACTCATTTCTTGCTCTTATTTCAAATTTTAAAATGTTATTACATAAGAGCAACAAAAGGAAACATTTATGGAATACCTTTAAAGCACTGTTGGAAAGAATATCTGGAATAAATTAGGGTCAACAGCATTTTATATCAAGAAAGCTCCTTGCCTCAAACCCATTTGATATAGAAACCCATTTGACATAGAAACTACATAAGAAAAGGTATTTGGTTTCTTTATCTGTGAAATCTTATAAATCCAATCAGATAAAAACATAAAAGCTAGGTATCTTATTCACTTCAACATGTTCAGACATTCCAGAAAACTTCCAGAAAATATGTGAGGCTTTCCAAAGTGCAAGAAGTGCTGAGAACAAAGCTCAAAGATAACAGTAGAAAAATTTTAATTGTGCTATTCAAGTTCCAAGCAACAAGAAATCTATAGCATAATTCCTGTGAAAGTTATCATCCCAGACTGAATGATGTACACCAAAAATAAACTCACATGAAATGGAAAACTGGTGCCCTCCTAAAGTATTTTTTTGCTTCTTCACCAAGCTTATGCCAAGCATTATTAGGTAAGAATCCACTAGCAACCTGTTCTTCTTCACTATCACTTTCTTCTATTTCCAAACGATTTAGACCCATAAGTGATAACTGTAGAAAAAATATATGGTATCAATTTGCATGTTTATGCAAAACGCGCACAATATGAAATTAGAATTTAATGAAAGAAGAAATATGATGTTAAGGTGTACAACATTTTGAAGGTATTTGTAATATTATGCTTATGGAGTTACATTTATGTCTAAATCTATACTCAAAATACAGTGTATTGCAACTTTGATCTGAAATTATATCATCTTAATCAATTTATCTTGTTTTTTTAAACAAGAAGTTCCGTTTCAAATATGCAGTGTATGTTATCTCTTCACACAAACCATTCCCCCCTCACCACCATCTCCAAAAATGCAGAACTATTTACATAACTGAAATTGAGGAGGCACCCAATTCTCTCTTTGAAGTGGTACAAAGAACTATTTGAATTGCCTTAGTTACTATAATATGTGATTTCAGACAAGACAAGCAGACAAATATGTTTTTTTTCCAAACCCAGACTACCAGCGAGTCTGGTCTGTGATGCCAGATTTAAAAAATGAAAACCTAACACAACCTGAGCAATAATTTTAAATTTTCTTTGGTTCATGACTGGTGATGGAAGCAAAAATGAACTGTGACACATGGCTTACAATTCTAACTACCCGGCACAGCAAAATAATTCTACAGGATTAAAAAAAAATATTTAGATCACATTTTCATACTGAATAGTTTAATTTTCAATACTGCAAGAATTCACTCTTTTAGTGTGAGAAAAGCAGGGAAGAGGTTATAAAGTATGATTACCCCACAAGTTACAGCCTACATTTAAATAAGCAATCGGGTTCTAACATCTATTAAAATATATGATTAATGCAACAGCAAGCTAACAGTCTGGTTCCCATGAACTGAAGGACCTCAAATGTACTGCATACTTTTGTTTGCTTTCAGACTCTAAAACTTATATTTCAGCTTATATGACTGATTTAAGTATACTTTTAAATAATGCTATTAGCTTTGCTAAAAAAATACTTTGTTTTCTATTTAAACAACAAATACATGATGAGTTATTATATTAAAATGTGGATGGGATTATTTTATATATATAATCAAGTTCTATTTAATAAAACAGAAAAGCCTTATATTACTATAGAGTTCATCACTGTAAACTTACTAAATCTTCAGCAAATGCAGATGGATCAAATACTGTCATATCTGAATGTAACTGGCTTGCTTTTTCTTTTCCTAGATTTGATGCCAAAACTAGGAACTGGGCATCCAAAGCGGCCTCCCTTGCCCAGGACACTGTTTTGAAAGAAGAAAAATATTTTGCTAGATTCAAAGGGAATTGAAGGCAAGATCGTAATTTTCATTAATATTCAGTTTCTGGTGAGTGCTTGTTGTTTCTAAGAATAGCAGGTTAAGAAAATAACAGTAAGTTAACAATTCAATGTGATGGGCTAGGAGAAAATGCATTTTTGTGAGAGAATTCTAAGCAAGATATGCATTTCAATTATTTGCTGTATGATCTGCCAAAAGCGTAGGATATACCTATAATTGGCAATATAGGTAGTCCTCAATGTAGGACCACAATTGGACTCAAAATTTCAGTTGCTAAGCAAGACAGTTAAGTTTTGCTCCATTTTGACCTTTCTTGCCAGAACTATTAAGTGAATCACTGTCGTTGCTAATAACACAATTAAGTGAATCTTTGCTTCTCAAGATTAACCATTGACTTTGCTCCTCATATTATGACAAAAGATGATCACATGATCCCAGGATACTGCAACTATCATAAATACATGCCAGTTGCCAAACATCCAAATTTTGATCAGGTGCTACAACAGTTATAAGTGTAAAAAATAGGCATATTTTTCTACCTTAGAATACTCAGTGAATGAATGGTTGTAAATTGAAGAGTATCTATATACAGATATACAGATTGTAATCCATTAAAAAATACTGTTTTAGTATGGAAAAATATGCAATAGTTGCATATTTTTGTTGGTATTTTAATAATGTTAACAGCTTAACAATATAAAAACATTAAACGTGGCAATGACAATGCGGCATTGACTCTCTACAAGATTTTTTTTTTAAAATCTTGGATAAGTTTAGAATCAGACCTCAGATTCACAAACACCAAGCTCTATATTTTTTAAAAAAATTTCTAAACTTCAGAAATTCAATTTTTAAACCTTTCAATATAACAATGTAAATCAATGAAGAACAGTGTCAAGAATGACAATTATATTTCACAATTGTGTTTATATTTTATTATCAGTTGCTAAATGGCTAAAAACAACAACATATAGGTGTACTAGATGCTGCCATTTTTCTCCAAATGAAATAAATGTTAGAGATAGAACCATAGAACCTCAACAGCCTCTGAAAAATTACAGATTTGCATCTCTGACAATTTATCTCCAAACACTAATCAGGCTGCTTCTCAGTACTGAATTTCAGCAAGAAATAAGATTAAATTCCTTTACCCTCACTTATTCTGGAAAGTAATAAAAGTTTTCCCTTGAAGCTTAAACTTTGAGGTTTACCAATCAAGGGTTGTCTCCAAAGTGCAGTACAACATCATTAAAAAAGAGACCAAACAAAGCCCAGTAACAATCAGAACTAGATAGCTATTTGTAACTGAAAAGGCAACAAAGATTATTTCTTTGTTGATATTACCTTGTAACATTTTTTTCATTTATATCACTTAGCATATTGCTTGCTTATTCTGTGTTCATTATTACATTGTCTTTTAAAAAGCATGCTATGGGTTTCTGTTAATACTTAATAAGAACTATTCTTCCTGCTGAGTTTCATACTTTATCACTTTATATTCATATTATATCACTTGATGTAACGTACTGCTCACAAAACATGAAGCATTAATAAAAACAACACTGACACCTTTTTCAACCAAAAAGAAAGTAGCATAGTGTTATTAAAAAAAACCACTAGAAAACAGATGAGATTGTTTTAATTGCTTTTAATTACAGGGAAATAATTTTAGGGAAATAAAGTAATTTTCCTCTCTGCTGGCCTCTTCTAGTTCCTTCAGACCTATAGAAAATTACTCTTCTTCATGCTTTCTGAAGAATACAATTAGCTACTATTAGTAAACAAAATGATTTATATTTTCCTCACTAGAATAAGTTGAATGGATTAAATAAAAATGGCAATGTGACACATATTCTTTCATTTTTATTTGAAGCTAGATTTCTTTTTTTCTGGAAAGAAATTAAGCACTGAAATCAACCACTGAAGAATTGATAAGTATTTGGGATAATTCTCATCTTACCTCCAGAGAACAGTTTATCAGCATCTTCTAGAGCTTCTGTCAGTTTATCATTATTGGTGCTCAGCATCAGCTCATGGTTCTCTAGGGGGGAAAAGGGGGGGTGGGGACCTCATGTTTAATTGTTGAGATACCTAAACCAAAAAGGCCACCCCTTTAAAACCAGTATATGCACCAAGTTGCAAGTTAAGAGTTCCACTTCTTGAAGTAAGTAGATGGCCAAATATTCCAATTAAGATTTATATTTAACACACACACATATATAAAGATTGCGACAACCCCCCCCCCCCCCCAAAAAAATGAGGCATTTAGACCATTCATTTAGACCATTGGGAAAGAAATCTCAGAAAGGCATGAGCGCTCAAGCTCCACCACCTCCAAACCACAGCAAAGTGAGGACGGAAAAGATGAAGACTGGAATGCACCCCATCCCTGTTTCCCAAAGATAGGAAAAAGGATCCCCAAACAAGAGAAGAGCAGATATCTACGTATTGCATCCTTGTCTAACATTGATGGTGTTACCTAGTTTGGGTAAAGAAACCTTCGCAAGAAAACAAGGAAGCTCAGAGAAGCACCAAGGAGCCCTCGGTCTTAACGACGACCTGGAGCGCCATTCGTTTCCCTCTTTATATCCCCACACGTCAGCCCCGCCATGCAGACAGAGTTGGGCGTCAGCAACCAATCCAAGGCCGACCAAGCCGGTTTCCTGGATCAACCGGGATTAGTTCGCGCCATTTTCTCCTAACTGGGTGGGGGAGGAACTTACGCTGAACGGTAGAAATTAGTTCTCGGTACTGTTGGCGGATCATGCGGCGCGTCGTCATTTCGTCAGATTCCTCCCCGGAAGTTTTCTCTTCAGAATGGCACCTGACGGGGAATTGGGGCCCAATCCCCGGTTTCTGGAGCAACCCGACAGGGCATTAGAATCTCAGCGAGCCCCGAGATGAGGGACCAGTCCTGGTTACGTCCGGGCCTCTGGCCTCAAACTCCGCCCCCCCTCTCTCTCTCCCCCTCCCTCACCAGCTGTTCGCATTGAACGCCGGGAAAATGAGGCGGTGCGAAGTCTGAGATAGAGATGAATAACGAAGAGAGAACCCTCCACGTCAAGAGGGAAGTGGCTGTTGTCACAATAGATGTTAGAGCGAGGCGGAGTCATTTCACCGTCTTCAATTACAACAGGAATGGAACAGCAATAGAACAGAAATTGGGATGGGATGGGAATGGAATTGGAATAGGGATAGGGATAGGGAAGGAATGGTATTGGAATAGGAATGGAATTAGGATATATTATATATAAGGAAAATGAACATTTTAAAAGGATAATAATTATTTATAGGGAAATGGAGTATTTAGGAGGCGAGGTGCTTCATTTTATGGTAGTTTTCTTTTTTTAGCAGCCCAAGTTGCTGCCCTTTTAGGAATTGTTACAGTGATTAGTTCGTTTTTTTATATAGTGAACTGTAGGAAGTTATCACCCACCCCGCTCCTAGAAAAATGAAATATCCTAGGAAATATTAAAAAGGCAGAATATTTCCTCTAAAAAGAGTAGAAACTCAGAAACTCACCTCAGAAGCAGAAAGTCAGCCCCCCCCCAACCTTGGCCAATGGGCCATTACTCTGGTTTAGGGCCAGCCTATTTTACATAACAAAGATCTCCAGGTAGAGCTATAGGAATTGCCAAAAGCCCTTTCATTACATCACCATCCAGCAAGCCTCAACCAAGCCTGGGACTCAGGACAGCTACAGAGTTGCCCCTGGGAGTCTGCCAACCAATCAGAATACAAGCTCAAATTCAAATCTCAACAGAGGGTATAAAACCCAGACACACTCAGCATATCAGCCCTTCCTTCTTTTCCTTCATCTTGAAGCATGTGATCGTCCTTTTCACTTTGGAGTTCCAAGCCATGTGATCCTGTCCACTATTAAACCATCTTTCCAAGCAGTCACCATGATTCCAGTGTCTTTCTTCCCCACTTGGAACTGAACCCAGAAGGATAATTCTTCCAACAGAACTTATGGTAGAAACTCTTGGGAATTTGTTATTACCTGAAACAATAGCCATGGTCCATGTAGAAGGGCATCAAAATTAACTACTTATGTAGGAAGAGGTAATTCAACAAACAAATCACTAGAGAATTACTGGCCATCTTACACCAAGGAAGTCATTGGGAAACAAGCATTATGTGATACTTTTCTGCAAAAATATGGATGTATCGGGATCTATACAGTGGCACAGCAAATCTGGAAAGATATTTAATCTGTAAAACAAAACCTCTGACAAAAAGAAGAAGTGGTAAGGGCCCCCTCACTCAGACCATTTAACTGGGTGGGTGGAAGCATTTCTAACTTCAAGAGCCACTGCATCAGTATCTAAAATACTGGAGCGAATTATTCCTATATATGGGATGGTAAAAAATAGATAGTGATCAAGGTAGCCACTTTATTTCTAGAATCCTGAAAGGAGTAATGGAGGGAGTGGGAATAAAATGGGAATACTACACCCTTGGAAAGAACCTTAACCAAATTGATGCTAGAAATACAACTGCCATGGATTAAGTGTTTGCCTTTGGCTCTTCTAAGAATGAGGACCCAACCAAAAAAGGACTTGGGAATTTCTCTTTATGAAATGCTATTTGGGTTACCACCATTGGAAAACCACAGGGAGCTTCCAAGTTTTTAAAGAACTACATTCTGTAGCTGTCTTCTGTTCTTTCTACCCTCAGGAAAAAAAGGATTACTGGCACAAATGCCACCATTGGAGTTTGCAGTTAACAAATACAAAATTGGAGACTTGGTCTTAATAAAGACTTGGAGGAATTACAAAGCTCCAGCGGATTTGGGAAGGACCATTCCAGCTATTGCTGACAACTGAGACTGTTGTACAGACTGTTGAGAAGGGCTGGACCCATTATACCAGAGTCAAAGGCCCTGTGAATGCACCATGCTCCCAGTGGACAGTAGTGCCAGATCCTGCAAATCCTGTATGAGTGATACTGAAGAAAGACAGAAGAATTAACAGGGACCCCATTTCTTCACCCCAGACTGACTTCAACTGAGTAAATAAAAGTATCAAAAAGCCTGATTGATGTTTAAGGAACAGTGGGAGTGGATTTTGTGGACTGTGTTGTGTATTCTTGGGCTTTGGGCTTTGTATTTGACAAGGATTTTTTCTGTGGAACCCCTAAAGTAGAATCTAATCCAGTACTAATTTCAAATGTGTAAATTCTGTGATTATACATGTTAGTGTGAAAGTTGTTTTTTCCATTGCATAGATTGTGGGGTATTAATGGGGATTGTGCAAGTTTGCATGGGCCATGTGATGGTACCTATGGACTTGAACAAAATGTTGATTTATCTACTGTGATGATAGATATGATTCTGAGTAATAATCTTGAATGTTGCTAGCTGAAAAAGGAGGATATGTGTCATGTTGGGGGAGAAAGGATATTGTACTAATAATACCACTCCTGATGGAACTATTACCACAGCCTTAAAGGGATTAACTACCTATCAGAAGAATTAGCTGCAACGGAAGGGTGTGATAGTATTTCTTGCAACTTCTTCTATGGCTATATTTGGAATTCTAGTAGCATTCGGATGTTGTATAATTCCATACGTAACGGGACTAGCCCAAATGTTAACAGAAACTGCAATAAGCAAACGAATGCCCTCCACCATACAAAGAGGAGATATGTTGTGTCTAAAGGATGAGGAGGAAAATGAACAGAGAAGCTAAGAGTTATTGTAACAATTTGAGAAAAATTATGAGATTATTGAATGAATTAGAAAGAGGAAGTTTAGAAATCAATAAAAAGGAAGAAAAAGAGAATTGTTATATATAAGGAAAATGATCATTTAAAAGAAAAAAATATCATTTATAGGAAAATGGAGTTCTATTGTTTCTAAAAAGCTAAATGCTTGATATGTCAAATGGAACAATTATAAGCTGTTTCAATTACCTGCATGTAGCAGCTAACAGCTAAGAATCAACTCCGTGAAAGCCTAGCAAGCATGAATGCCAGCGGAAACTGCAAGCAGAGGAAGTACAAAAATAGCAGTAAAGCTTATGCTAGCTTTATTGAGGTTATGGTGAACTTGTTAAAATTCTTTGAACAAAAGTGGAGGGGACTTTTAGGAGAATTGAGTAGGATGCTGTGTCAAAAAGGAGAAGGGGAAATGAACTTGTGTAAGAGAATAAAAGCTGATAAATGCTTTGTTCACTTTTGTCCACTTTCTGTCACCCGTGTTTGCAAAAAAACTTCTTTGCTGCTTTCAAGTTGTTGTCTCAGGTAGTTCCATATGTTGGAAGAATTATCCTTCTGGGTTCAGTTCCAAGTGGGGAAAAAGACACTGGAAACATGGAGACTGTTTGGAAAGATGGTTTAATGGTAGACAAGACCACATGGCTTGGAGCTCCAAAGATGATCTCATGCTTCAAGGTGAAGGAAGAGATCAAGAAAAAAGAAGAGGGCTGAAAGTGTTTGGTTTTATATCCTCTGTTGGGATTTGAATTTGAGCTTGTATTCTGATTGGTTGTCAGACTCCCAGGGGCAATTCTGTAGGCAGTCCTAAGTCCTAGGCTTGGTTGAGCCTTGCTGGATGATGATGTAATGAAAAGGGCTTTTGGCAATTTCCTACCTGGAGATCTTTGTTATGTAAAATATTCTGTCCCAGGCCTTAATGGCCCACCCATTAACAAAGGTGGGGGGGATGAGTTTCTGCTTCTGAGTTTCTACTTCTCTTTTTAGGGGAAATATTCTGCCTTTTTAGTATTTCCTAGGATATTTCATTTTTCTAGGAGGGGGTGGGTTTTAACTTCCAACAATATGCAAACATGCACTGTTTATAACAGACAGGAATGGAATGGAACAGAATAACTTGTCACTTTGAATGTACACTAATCGGCATACATTAAAATTAAATTTCATTGCATATACTGCTCTCAAAGAGTCACACCTTCAATATACACTACATAAACAAGACAAATAAAATACAAAATTATGTATATAACGACATATATGACAGAGAAACCACAGTCCAGTTCGAATGTAGATATGTCCATGGCAAGAGAAACAAATCTTGTTACCAGACGGATGTTGTAGGGAACAAAGCTGTTACAGAATCTGGTAGTCCTGCTAGAAATATTTCGAAACCTCCTCCCAAAGGGGAGCAGCAGAAACAGACCGTGAAGTGGGTGTGTGGGGTCTCTAACAATGCTTTGATAACGAACTGGCAGGCAGCCTTCGAAAAAGTTGGCTGTAAATCTCGCTGTAGTATTATTTCTTGCAATGATACGTAATAAAATTTAGGACAACTCTTAAATTAACGAAAAGGCTGGCTTCTGTAGCTGTAGGGCAGACGTTTCCAAACTTGGCGACTTTAAGACTTGTGGACTTCAACTTTTCAAGCTGGCTGGAGAATTCTGAGAGGTCAAGTCCACAAGTCCTAAAGTTGCCAAGTTTGGGGACCCCTGCTGTAGAAGTCGAGATATCTAAGACCATGGATCTCATCCCCGAAAGCTTTCTGACCTTGACGGCAAGCCAGAGGGTTCAAGGCAGAACGCGAAGGTTGCGGTTTCCAATGTTGATAGTGGTGAGTCTTTTCTCCAGTCCTATCAATTACTCAGCCGTTTTAAGGATTTCAACATGCTTTCTGAGGAATTCTGGGAATTGAAGTCCACACGTTTTATAGCTAGGTTGGAGAACCGCTCAGCTGGAAAAGTAAATGAAGGAGTTGTGCGTCTTTGCTCGGCAAGACCAGCACGTGCTAGTTTGGGGCTGTTGTCTCCACAAATACTGGTGGATGATACAGATATATAAACTTTTTCCCCCCCAGGGTTATGGTGCGCAGTTGCGTTCATGCTTGCTTTTCAAAACGAAGATAATTACGAAGAACATTGGTTCACAGCACCACAAGGTGGCAGGTTTTAAAGTAGCATCCTTTTCAACAAGAAATGCTATTTTAGAAATGATCTCGTTGCATGTAGGTTATTGGCAAGACAGTGAAATTAATGTTTTTTTAAAATAGA